GTTAAATCATAATTAAGAAAACTTTTGAGTTGCATTAGTTAAAAAAGGGGGTTTCAAATGAATGAGATTCAAGAAAAAATGCTAGCTTTATAAGTATGTATGATATGATATATATATATATATATATATATATATATATATATATATATATATATATATATATATATATCCCTAATCTAATAAATAAAACCAATTTTACCACGTGGCAATTGTTGAGCCCCTCCCAGCGAATTTTACCGCTTAAAGTAAATATGTGAAGTTCCGAAAATGCCCTTTCTCGCTCTTAAAGTTTGTATGCGAATTTTCTACCTCTTAAAACCCCACCCGCCTTCAATCTCGCTCTGACATTTGAAACAATTAAGAGTTTCCAACTTATATGCAACAAATCAGCTCCCCAATTTGAAGGTAATCGTTTACAAAATTATTTATCAATCTCTTTATTTATACAATTACAATTCCATAACCATTTATTTTAACCCTAATTCTGTTTTTGGAAATTGAGCAGGAGCCGAGAATCGAAGAGTTGATGTCTTAATTCAAACGATGGCTAGAAAGAACCTGCATATTATGTGATTATCGGAATGTATCAAGGAATGAATTTCTGACACAAGTTCTCTACAGGTTTACATGCACCATTTTCATTCTCATAACTAAGCTTCATTTTCTTAATTGAAGGTTTTGTTTGACTTCAGTCTCTTTCATCATATTCGTAGTCACTGGTACTAAGTACTAATCTGAACCCTATATTATCGTAACAACAAATCGAAAACAAAAATAAGATCTAGCAGTTTTTGAAACCCTAAATTTCTCCCCCTCTCTCTCTTTATGTTTTTATTTATTTATTTATTTTTGGTTTTTAGTTTTGCTTTAAGTTTTCTTGGTTTTTTCGGATTTAGATAATTTTTATTTTTCATTGCTTTGTTTTATCTATGGTTGTATCTCTATTAAGTTATTTGTGATCTTTGTAGCTTTTCTTGGATATAAAACCAATCCCGTATATAGATTTTGTCCTAGTATCTTCTTCCTTCGGTATGGATTTTTCATCTTAAATAAAAGTCGTATAGTTGAATCTAAGCATTAGTTTTTGGGTTTATTAGGGATGGCTTTATTGTACATCAACTGTTCCCCGTGATCGTGGCGATGATTTAATTGTCTTGGGGGTATGCAATGGAACATGTTCACAGGTGCGAAGGTATTTTACTTCAATCGTGATATTTGGCATCTCTTCTTGGTGGACCTTTGCCCTCAGAACTTCAATAAGGTATTTACTTCTTATTCAGATCGAATTTTCGTTACTATAAATATTCTTATGATAATGGATTCCAATCCAACTTGACTCTATTGTGAACTCTCCAAAAAAAGCTCGTACTTCTTCAAATTTTGAGTTAATGGTCTTGAATTTGAGGAATTAACCACATATTTGAATGAAGTCTAAGAATTGTAATTTGTTTTAAGCCGATAATTGAAATACAGATCGCATTCAATCGATTTCTGCTTTTTGTTGTAACAATGAATGTTATTCAACTTGATTCTCGAGTCTTCTGTATATATATGAAGTTCCTAAGTAGGGAATATCAAAATATCCGTTGTTACGTTATGACTTTATACATGTAAATCATGGAAAGAAGAAACAAAATATGACAAAATCAACCCCCGACACATAATATAATTATAAGCTTATGTTTTCTCACTTGTATTATCTCTTTAAGGATATTAAAGAAGGATGGTATGATGGGGAAGCATAACTTTTGTTCTTATAATTGTTATAGTTGTTACAAGTACTTTATTACATAAATTATGATTTTGTTACATTTGTATTATAAAAATAACATATTATTGTTTTTTTCTATTTTGTAGCCATAAGTGATTATAAACAATGGCTTCAGTTTCAAAAACTTAAATGAAGAGAAGAAGAATATGCAGTTGGAGGTGGATATTATCTTTTAAATAAGTTTCATTTAAACATATTTTACTTTTGTTTACTAATATAGATTGTATTGCCAGCTTATATGAGGAGAGAGGAGGGTAGAGATTTTAATATTTAATATCGGTGTGGGAGGTGTCATAACTCTTAAAATCAGCGACCAAGTAATATATTCCTCATTTATTTTTATCATCATGTTTTTATTATTTTCATTTTTACCCTTTCTTACGCTTCATTTATAAACCAGGTTCTAGCTGATGGGTTTTAATTTATCGTAACTCCCTTTCAATTTATGAATCAAGTATCACCGACAAGAGTAAAATCAGAAGTTTTTATAAAGTTCTGTTACATTGTGTTTTATATGGAATCTTTAAGATTGAAGATGGTAATGACAACCCAATTTACAGTAGGTTGACGTTATAGCACCAGACATTGAAAAAATTCCTATTTATATCTAATATTTTGGTCATTGTTTGTTATAGTAATGGCAACCCAATTTATAGCCCCTGAATTTTATAAGAACATTTTAAAAGTTTTGTGTTGTACGTTTAAATGCCGAATAGTAAAAGACAAACCTCCCCTTTTATCTTATGTTCATTGATTTTGAATGTAGTAGGTTTTATCATTTATGCAAAATACTTTGTGGGAGATGTAATGGATGAAACTGCCCTTACTATATTCTTATATGAGTTGAACCAATTTAATAAGAGTCTAAACAAAACTTATGTCTTATTAATTAGATTTTTTTATAAATCTTTGATGTTTCATAAATATTTTTAATTATAAATATTAATTTTCTTTATTACCCTTGGTTTCCACGGCTTGTAACCTAGTGTGTGTGTGTATACACACACACACTAGGTGTGAGACCCATGTATTACATGAGTTTATTTTTTTAAAAAAAATTTAATATGAAATTTTAACAATTTGAAAAGTTTGAATTTATAAGAAAAATGAGAAAAATTTTGAATTATTAAAATTAATGAGGTTTTAATGTATTGAATACATTACATATATAAACCTTTCTAATAAATACCTTACATATATATTACCTTACATATTAAATGAGGAATTTTAATTTAATAAAATGAAAAATACAATAAAATGACGAGTGGAAAATAGAAAATTCAAAAATTCTAGAAAATGTCGTGTGTCCAAATGAATGAGAAAATGACATGTGGCAAAAAGTTCTTTATTTATTAAAGAAGATATATATATATATATATATATATCTATATATCTATATATATATATATATATATTATATATATATATATATATATGTGTGGTGTGTGTGTGTGTGTGTGTGTGTGTGTGTGTCGATATATCTTGTGACGAGTTGAGGACGGTTTAGCTTTGTGCTGAAGGTCACGATACTTGGGACGGACTAGATTTATGCTAAAGGTCAGGGGACAGACTAGCTTTATGTTGAAGACTGAAAAGGGAGGGGTGGACCGGCCTTGAGCTGAAGGCCAATGTCTGTATGATTGTGTGTATTGTGTGATGCATGGTATTTTGGGGGAACATCACTAAGATTTGATTTATAGTTGATTAAATGTTTTAGGTATTTCTAAGGATAGTAGGAAGACGAATGTGTGACTGTACGCATTCATACAACTTTCATGTTTAAGATTTTGTAGTGTTATGATACTCTGATTTTTGGGTTTATGTTTTGGGAGCAATGGTTTTATTGATGTTTGGTTTTATGAAAATGACTTTTATTTTCTTTTAAAAAATGAAAACTTTACTATGAAAATTGGGACGTTACATTGAGAAGTTTGGTTAATATGATTCAATATTCAATGAGACTCTCTGATGGTTGAAACTTAGGAATTGAGATGACATAATTGACTAATTTATTCTATCATAACTTGATTGCTTCATAGGTTGTCAGTTTATTATTCGTCGATTCGATCTCTGCTAATTTGGTTGCACCTACCACATTCTTTAAAAGTAATGATTGTTTTATGTATGATATTGCTTCTTCCTGCTTCTAGTAATATATGGAATTTGGGCCTCTGAATTTTGGCTTATTCTTCACACTTCCTATAATTTATCTTTCTTTTTTTCCCTAAAAATTGACTAATCATTATATATTAATATTACATAGCCGATAACAATTTTAGGCCCCTTAAAACGATGGGCACTGGACGATCACCTCCATTGTCCACCATCTAGGTCGAGCCTGCATTTAGACAATGCAACCACAATATAATGTTTTCTTGATTTAAAAAAAAAGAGCTATATTAACAAAAGACTAACCAAAAGCTAGAAGTACAAGAATTTCATACATTCCTTCGGAGGATCATTGCACCAATTGTTCCAATTTACATTTATATCGTTCATAGTTCTAGTGGTGATCCCGTAATAGATCGTGGATTGAACGATGCAAGCCAACTCCTTACTGCCATGAACTTTAGGGTTGAAGACCATACTCTTTCTATAGTTCCATATCTCCTACGCAACAACAAGAAGGATAACTACAATAATGTTCTCCCGTTTGGTGTTGACCCAATTCCTAGCGTATGCAGCAAAAAAATTCTCAGCAGAAGTATAGGGAATGGGTAAATTGCATTCCACTATTTTAATTGTAGTTGATCACTTTCGTCTAATGCAAATTTGGTTTTATGCGAATATATACCACCCAAAAATCCTACCCATGCATTTAAATTAGTAACCTTATAGTTATCCCCCATCCCCATGTATAGTTATCTTCTTTCTTATCTGTCTGTGTTATAAATTTTGTTTCTTTCGTTAAATAATTAAAAATAAAGATTTTGATAATTGCTTCAAATTTGACAAGGTTTTATTTTACTTTAATTGAACAGAATTCGAACAATGTGATAGAAATAGATTAGGATACATGGATTAACATCAAAACGGTTGGAAATCATACAAAACTTAATAAAATTAGATCGGGTTAAGTTTTATTGATAATAAAAAGATTCTTACTAATTTGATGTGGAACCCTATACACCAATAAACCAAAATATTTCAAGAAATGCTCAACAATGTAATCAAGAATATATTATATAAATGAAGAAATAACACTTAAAACCAAAGTAAACAATTCAATTCATACACTCTTCTCGGTAAACTCCTCAAGATAATAGAGATCTTCCGCTTCCATGTCCATCGGAGGAGTCTGATTCAAATCGAATTTAAAACACACTTTACTTCTGCCCTCGGATTCTTCAGCCTGTATCTGCCTCTGTGTCACACTTGGTTCAGGAAAATACGTATTATCACCATATCTTACGACCAGGAGATTCTCTGCTCCTTCTAAATCGGCCGGATCATGCACTTCATCCATAATCGGTACCTTATAAACCTTCAAATCATTATCATCAACCCGCAAAGCCCGACGGGTTCTCTTTCTGGTCAACGCCCATCTAAGTGGCGGGTCCATCGAATTAACCACATTGGCCTCCTTGTCGATGGTTACTGTTTCAGGCCGTGATGTGAAGAATATTTTCCAATCCCCATCAGAATGAACCTTCATATGTTGGTAAAGGAAATTCATCTTCCCAAAAGTATTTTTGCATAGATTACAAACTGTTTTACCATCACTGTTTACAAAATCCAAGGTAAAATCTTTTCCTTCTTGCGGATGTTGTAGTCTTATCTTCCTCGTATCAAGGGACTTCTTGGACTTGGTTTCTTTTGTGGGTTTCACGAGAGCGGCTGTGAAGGTGGACATGACAGCGTTAACTTGATTAATCGTCATGTAATACGTTGTAGTGATTTTGCATGCCAATAGTGAAGGGATAATTTATAGGGATCAATGAAATTGTACTTGGACACTAAGTTTGTAAATTCTGTTTCCACTTTCCTTTGAGAGTTCTCACTTTTCAAATTCTTCTATTTTCATCTTATTAAATTTGATTATATTTAATTTATAAGAAATTTTTAGTGAAAGTGATTTTGTATACGGTATGACATATTTTCATTTTTGAAACCTAAAATTATTATATTATTGGAAAACACATTTGGGATACGACGTCATTTTAATAAAATATGATAATTTTCAGAATTTGAAAATATTTAATATATTGTTTATAGTTTTCGGTGCACAAAAATCTTATAAAGTAGAAAACGCAAGTTTCCACCAACCAAAGTACAACTAGTGTTATACCTGCCTTTTGGTCGAGTTGTCGGAATTTAAAAAAATAGATCGATTTTATTTTTTACCAAATAAATGTAGTTTTAACATATTGTCCCTGTAACCGATTTTTACCCCTAACACACATTGTCCATTAAATTTACCCCTTTAATTAGAAAAAAATAAGAAAATAAATTTTGTTATTTCAACCAGCAGGTGTACTAAAATGCTAACCAATTTCTTCAGTCGAAACTATTAGGACATTATACTTTGAAATTAAATGAATAGCAAGATATACAAGATAATAAAAGAAACATGACACACTAACAATTTACCTGACCACTATGTAAGACCTTATGCTTTAAACAATGTTCCCTCGTAGCCTTAGGGTAGCCATCTGGAGGAATTATAACCTACCAACACAAAATCAAATATATTTTTCACCAATGGAGATGCAAAATTTGAACTTCAAAAACATAACAAAAGGAACTTATTAGATTATCATTTATGAAGCTAAGGCATTGTTTCGTTTATACTTAAATCCTTAATGAGTTAAGCAATTAATTGGACATCTAGATATTATTGATTCTTTTATACTTAATATGGACAAAATGACTTTATTTGTTGGAATGTAAGGTAAAATGGTCATTTATATTCATTAGGCCAATTTATTCAAAGAAAAAACGGATCATATGTATGCAAGACTTTATCTATACATACATCATTACCCATTCAACCACTGTACTAAATGACTTAATGTGGAAAAAATAGCCCCTAACAGTAGTAGATAGAAAAGAACACATAAATAAAAGGGGGAAATGCCGATTACATACCCCAATATTTAAAGTATATAAAAAATTGTTTATTATAAATGAAAGGGGGAAATGTCGATTACAAAAACTATTTTGAAACAGGGTGTCAGCTTCAACTCATCTTTAGTTGCTATTGCCTGTGTGGACCCTGCTATTGTCTGTGTGGACCCTGATAGGTTGAAGTTGTCAACTGTTTCAAACCAATTTTTGTAAAGTATATAAAAAAATCGTACCACTACTATTATCAATTAAAAAATGACTAATGCAGGAAAGGAGTATGTTTACTTACCATAAATAAAGCACTGTGCAACAAATTCGCTCTTAACATAAACATTCTCAATTTTCTCAGGAACTATGTACTCTCCCTGTCCCAGTTGTACCACTTGTATAACATATTATAACAACATCATCTGGTTTTGGTGGACAAAAAGGGTGACGATCATTACTTCCCAAAAAATACCAATACATATGACAAATAAATTAGTAATCAAATGACAGAATCATAAAAGATTATGATTCAACAAAAGGATTTGAAGTTACCTGAGTAATAAGTTAAGAAGATGACAAAAACTTAACCCTAGATGCTGATGAAAGAGATGGCATTAGCTCATCTTGCCCTCCAACCACCTATATTACAAGTCATTATTCAGTAAAGAATCTTATGAGTGAAATTGATAAGAAATGAAACAAATGATTAACCATCATACCACTATCAAACGCACAGAAGACATCTCTGACAAAAAGGTCATCAACTGAAATGTTAAAATTATTAGCAAATAATCATAAATTTAACCATTTAAAAGTATTAAAACATGGGTGAAACTTACAATATGCAATGTCTGCGGAACACAAAATATGGCTTCTGCAGAAGAGTGGTTCACAATATACTCCACAACATCCGGACCTATAAGATTTGGCATTAAATACATTTGAAACATAAAGAATGGCGATTTAAAAGTTTGACAAAATAATGAAAGACAAACCAAGGGTATCATATAAAGGGAAAGATATGTGAGAATATGCAGAACAAGAATGATCAACAGTTATCCACTCAGGTCTGGTGATAAAGTACAGTCCAATACAAGACCCCTGTTGCAAGTTATACAATTAAACTTATAAAACATAATATAAAAAAACTACAAAATAAAAAGGAGAAATTAGTATATAAGTGACATGACTTGGTTATTCCATTGGATACTAACCCAAAACCAAATAGCTGACCGAGCTGTGGCTGCTTCCCCATAAGTCGTCTATTTGTATCTTTAAAGAAAATGAAGATAAATCATAAAGTATTTGTACCCAATCTGTCTTAAAAAATAATAAAATACTTTAACATACTCTCCAATAGTTCCATCTTCATGAATCTGTGTACCCAAATACTTGTAATCACGGAAGGTTTCAGATGCACACTTATAGTGGAAACAAAGTATTGATGTTTTTTTTCTAAGATTTGCATAATATATACAAAATTCAATGAAGAAAATATGATATAGTGAACTTAGATGCTTACAAAAAATTATCGTGTAAGGTACCAATGTCAGGATGATCAAGAAATTTACTAACCAACTTTAAAGGAGAGGTTGCAAATCTGTCACTAGAAAGGAAATATGTCAAGGTTTTGTTATACTTCAAATATTAGTCAAGTAACTGAGATAGGGGTAATATTGGAAATTTTTAGAATAAAGAGCATCTTATGTGATGAAAGTTGACCAAGCTATTGAGAAGACATTTATAATTGGAAAGGAAATGAAATTGACTAAGAAGAAGTCGCATATCTACATTCCTATGTGAACATGCAACCCTAATTGTTTTGGATATAAGTTTTTCACTAATTGAACATGCAAATTGGATACCAAAGCAATAACCCTAAAACGAGCATACAATTTCGAAAAATCATATAAAATTAGGGTTAGAATATTACCTCTCTTGTTATATAGTAATAACAAGAACAATCTTGAAGATCCTTGACTCTTGAAAGTTTAGTGCCCCAAATGTTGCACCACAAAATGGTTAAAAAACACCTAATGCAACAAGATGAGTGGAGAGACAAGGAAAAACGGCTAGGGTTATGTATCATATGCATAGGGCCGAAATTCCTAGTGTATGAAGGGGTTTATATATGGCTAAGGGTTGCTAGGGTTTTTGGAGGAAACCCTAATTTCCTGCTTAAGGCTTGATCAGCCCATGGACTCCTCATTATGAGTCCTTGGACGAAAATCTTATTGGGCCTCCTATAATTTTCGTCTACTCCATCATAAGAAGTCCAGTAGCCCAGTTTCACAATTATTAATGATTTGAAAAACAACTTCTCCATTATTAATCAGTTCCTTTAATCCCAAAATTAATATCAAATTAATTTCTGATTAATTACTAGTTAATAATATGATTTCCAAATAATATATTAATCTTGTAATATATTAATAAAGCCATTTTGAGTACCAATTTATTATTTCAAATAATAAATTCTACTCTTTCTCCACCAGTAATCCTTTCAAGTTGCATGAGTGAAGGCAACCCAAAAGGACCATGCTACAATCAAATCAAGTACATACCAATGATAGTTATGGGCTTAGACACCAAATCCTATAGTCTCCCACTTGGATAAGTCTAATAACTATTATTGCAAGTATGTCTTCAAAATTTGACCAACAATCGTAATTTCCAAAAGCCGTTGTCGAACTCTGATCTAATCAATGACACGTCCTTAAGATAAGGGATCAAATATTCCTCCATTCTACAAGATATCGTATGGACATGAGACATGGATTATAATCAATCTTTGTGCAAGAGTTGTTTCCTAATTTCCGATTTATGACGACTGACTAATTGAACAAATCAAATCAGTTCAGGCTTGGCCAAGCGCTTCAACTGTCATCACTAAATCATCAAGGGCCCCACAAATATCGCTTTTATCCCATTTAGGGTAAAAGGAACGGATAAAATTTGACTCATATGCTTGTACTATTTACTCATCAAATCACACACAACAATACGTTTTATAACATCAATTTACTGATGCATTTTTGTATTATTAATGCACAACTGACTCGTAAACAACAACTCATATGTCTCCGTTTCAAGAATATAAGATATTATCGTCTCAGAATTACTCGTGATAGAATCCATGAAGTAATTCTCTGAGTGTAGGTTTAATCCAATACTCAAATCCTATTTCAGGAGTACTCATGAACGTTGCAGAAAACATTTGCAATGTCTAAACACTTAGACAATCTACAAGCCAATTCATGACAGTCTTACTTCATTACTTAATTCCAAAGTATGATCGACTGTGGATAGTTTGAATAATCCAATTATCCGGGAAGTAAAACATACGAAGTGAAATACAAGAATAACCTAATTAACTATGGTCTCAAAACATTTGAATATAAATAAAAGCACTTTTATTTAATCACCATATTAATTAGACTTTACTCATTGTATAATGTTTCTAGTAATCAACTTAATACTTGAATTAAAACATTAGTCATTCCATGCACAAAACACACACACACACACACTATGTTTATCTATGGTCCTTTCTTTGTGAAACAGATCAATTGAACACATTTCCAATGATGCTCATTTCACAATCCCAAATCCTTATTACAAGTGTAAGAATACAAAATTCTTGCCACCACGAGAATCCGTTAGAGTCTAAACTTACATGTAATGATCCTTTTGTAATGTCAAGGCACCAAAGTCACAGAGACTTTGCCAATGATATTACAAAGCATTCCATTGGAGATTGGTTACAAAAACAATTCCATGGAAAAGGTAGTCTCAAAT